TCTTCGTTAGATGCAGAAGGGTCCGTGGCTAATTGTATGGATTCCATACAACTCCAGGGATCGGGGTCGTGTTCATGCGGTGCAGAAGTGTCCGTTTGTAACTGTATGGATTCGATACAACTCCATGGATCGGGGTCATGTGGTGGACATGGATCTGTTCCTTCGGTGTCAGTGGGTGGATCCAGGGTGGAGGAAACATTGTTCCGTGATAAACCCTCGTTTGGCGTAGCAGCATGCGGGGAACTACTGTGCCCGGTTGCATCGGGCTCCAAGTCACGCGCAAACTCCTGCGCAAACTCCTGCACGAGTATCTGCAAATAGTCGTCTTTGACGTTTTGCCATGCGGTCACTTCACATTCGTTGAGCACTTCTAGATATAGCTCGATGATGGTGCGTTTATGCACGCGTGGTGGGCGTCGTCCTCGATCGGCAGCAGATGCAGGCCGCCTATCCCTAATCAAGGTGTAGCCGTAATCGGGTGGCGGCAGGTCGCCGCGTTGTAGATGGTCGAGTATTTCTTCGTCGAGTGGCGGTGACGGCACGTCACGTATAGTTCGATATGTTCGTCGTCGTTTGGTGAGGTACGCAAAGTACTAAGCAGAAAACGGGGGGTACAGAGCAGGGTGAGGACGGTAGGATAAAAGAAATGAACGCGGGTGTAGGAGTATATTGGTTAGAGCGATCATATATTGGAGCCGGTGGGGAGTTTCTGAGGTATAAACATCCTGCACGCGCGGCATGCCCGCATTGTCGTATATACGTACCTTCCAGAGGGAATAACCAAGAAGGGCGACGGTGACGGCAGTAAGAAAAAACAGTATCGGAGTAGTGGCGGTAAGGACCGCGGCGGTTAGATCGGGGGGTGTGCGTCCACTGCCACCTTCAGGTTGACCTGGATGGATAATTATTTCATCACGTGGTATAACGCGTAAGGGTGGAGGTGCATATGATCCCTCAACGCTGCTACCATCGAGTTCTGGCAACTTGAGGTTGAATGTAGGGTCCTTCTCTTCCCCGGGGAGCTGTTCTCTTCTTGCGGATCCCGGGATGGACGTTGAAGGCGGGGGATCCACATATATTTCATCGTCCTGTATGGTCCACCTATGGGTAGGGTCCGTGTCAGTAACGGGTGTACTGGCGTCACCACGTGCACCTGTTTCACGAGATGGACCTGGTACACCTGGTGTACCCGCGTTTCCGTCATTTCCTGTTGTTGTGGGTATGCTGGATGGTGCGGGCGGTGAATCCTCCGGACCTTTACCTGTCGTGTCCGGTGTATTTGCAGTACCTGTGAGTTTGAACGAAAAGGAAGAATATGGAAATAACTCAAGTGTTGTGCGGTGGATGGTTGGCCACACGGTTGGTGCCATGCTCGGTCGTGTATACGGTCGGCACCATGGTCCAGTCGCTGCATTGTTCGACCACACGGTTGATCACGGTTCGTTGCGGTCGTTTCACGGGTTGACCGCAGGTCGGTTGACGAGGCAGGAGACAGACCGGAGGGTACGAGGACGGATGGGCAAGGTGCCACCCCGGGGAAAAGACTCTCTGTCTCTCCCACACAACACACACAACACATCACACAACACAACACAAAGTGTGTGTCTCGCGACTTCTACCCATCTACGTGTCGACGTCTCTACGTCTCTCTACTTCCCCGCGGCTGGCCCATCGCTGACGCTCTGTCGCTTGCACTCTCATTCGACGTGTGGTTTCTCGCTCTCTGCCCCGCTCTCCGTGGTGTCTGTCCGTGTTGTCTCTCCGTGTTGTCTCTCCGTGTTGTCTCTACGGAAATGTGGGTGCTTTTGTTTTTTGTTATTTCGCGTGTGGACTAAATGAAAAGGAGGATAGTGTTGGGCTTTTTTTTGTTTTGTTGTTTTTTTTCTGCTGTTCTTCCTTTTCCCTTAGATAACCCAGCGAGGGTACTATCATAAGGCATCCAGCACGTTGTCAACACCTCCGGAGGAGCCGTTGCGGCTGCTGCTCTGTGGACTGTCGCAGGTACCTGTGGAAGATGGAGCTCTCTCGTGCTCCCTGATGTTGTTAACTGTTGCACATGACGGTTGACCGGGATAGGAATAGGGAACTGTCGTGACACTAACGCGGGATCCTTCATGTGTCTCTGCACCAGAGGCTGCAGAACTGGACTTCGCGTGCTTACACTCGTCCTCACCTGTGGCATCCGTCGATGTCCCTGCTGGCTGCGCTGGTGCTGTGTCCGTTGATGCTGTCCCCTCACCCTCTGATGTCCTTGATGGAGGAGGAGGTGGTGGTGGCGTTGCTGGTAATACTGGGGATGCCGGTGCTTGCGGTGTCTTGCCTGCTGCAAATAAAGCAAGGAAGTAAAACGACAAAATGGTACAACAAAGGACACAAGTGGTACAGAAAGAAGGGGCCGGGACGGTGCGCTCAGGTAGCGGCAGCAAGCGTACGGTGACATGGTATGGTAGCAGTACACTTTTATTTGTCGCCGTCATCTCGCGGCCGCGGCATCCGGCGACCCGCTGCATCCCTCATCTCGTCTCCGGTGCCTCGTCGCCGCTACCGCTGCCGTCATGGCCGATCAACGTCAACGACGTCGTTTGCTGTGCTGTTGCACAACGCTGTGCTGTTGTGCTGTTCCGCCGCGTGCGTGCGTTGTTGTGGGGTGCTGTGCAGCTGTTTGCGCACCGCGGTTCCCCCGTGCGTTGTTATTTGCCCCGCGTGCGTGTTGTTGTTGTTGGCGGAATCCATATGGGCCATCCGGGTCGTATTCGTAATATTCGTGTGCGGGGCGTATTGGTGCTTTGTCCCCATCGGTCCTTACCTGGTGGTACTGGTGTTCCAGCCGGCACAGTAGCCGCCGTGGCGGATTTGGCGGGCGCCGACTCCGACGTCCCGGATGGTGATGACGATGAAAATGTTGATGATGTTGTCGATGATCCGGATGATGACGATGTTGTATGTGTACCTGGGGATGGTGTGCTTGCTGCTGTCGTCACTTTTTTGTTTGTCTCCGATTCCACTTCTTCAATTGCTTCTTTCAACTTCTTCATTATATTATCCGTATCAGTCAGTCCCTGTATCTGGTTCAACACTGCTGTCGCGTCCTCCTTGGATAATTCATGTTTACTAGCGGCCAACTTTTTTAAATCGTCCGGACTAATTGGCCCGTGTGCACCCTTGCTGTCTGGCTGTTCGTGTGTATCCTGCCCGCTGTTGGTGCCTGCCTGAATTGTGGTGTGGTCGGCACAAGAGGCGTGCACATAATCGGCCATGATTTCGTGCCACCGAGTACTGTCATTGTGTATCCATGCCTGAATTGTCTTTCCTACCAATTTGTGCCCTATTTGTAGTGTATCGAAATCCAATCCGTTGCATGCACTATTACTAGTGTACACTTGGTACGTTGGCCTCATAGCGGCTGTGGCCGCGCGTGCATAGGGCACTAAGGTGTTGAAGTCACACAGCGGTGCAAATTGTTTGGCTAAAGTGACGTATCCTACCATGCACCTCATGAATGGGTGTATCTGGTCCTCAGGCGGATTTGCAGCCGAATTCGTGCCGTGCTCTGGTGGAATACCTTGGATAAAATAGTAAACTTTCATGATGTCCTTGCATAAGGATGAATCCTCCACGCGTATTTGTTCCATCCCCGCATCCGTCACGATCTGTCCGCACAAGGGCTCTAGTTCTAGCCTGTGTTCCTCCATTGCATCCAATAACGCGTCATATACTATTTTAACGTCTCCCCAGAATATTTCCTACAACAAACACGTAAAAAATACGTAGATGTATACATAATTCTGCTTGTTGCATGATCACGTCAACGCCTATATTCCGCTACTGTAAATGTATGTAAATGTACAAGTCGCTCCCATTTTACCCTTAGTGTACTTAACTTACGCTGAAACTTCCCTTCCCAGTATCGCCCTCTTGCTCATCTGCCCTTATTGCCCTTTTCGTAGTATAATGCACCAATAGGTCCCGTAATGTCGCGGCCATCTTGCCTCTATTACTTTAACTGTGTATTCAACTGTTGTGGCACATATTACACTGCCTCACAGTTCGTGTGCGTGTACACAACTACCCTGGGCTTTTCACAGTAGTGGCTGTGTTCACATTAATAAAACATATGCGTGAACTGAACGCTGTAGAAGAAGTGTATGCTTCATTAATAATTGCTAAACAGGGGGGAAAAAGAAAATAAAAAAACACATATATTGGAAAACAGAACAAAAAGGAATAATGGAAAAAGAAAAAAGAATACAACAAAGAACCAAAAAAAAGCATGCATAAAATTAACGAGAAGAACGAAAAAAAAACAGTACTACTAAACTACCGTACACACACACAACGCGTCATGAATATACACCCCCGCCCCGCAGTCTACACCGGTCTCCACTAAACGCCTTCACACATGTTGTCTCTGTGTGCGTACACTTAAACCCCTTGTACACTAAAACCGCAGTAAAAACAACAACGTCAAGTTCTTCTGCCGTCGTACACTCGGCTACAATGCGGTTTACGCGGCCACGGCGCGCGCAGGCAATGTCCTTATACGCGAATGCGTGGTCGCGTGCTATATTAGTTGTGCACTATACCCTTCGAATGCACTTGCTCAGCTTTTAATAAATAATTTCCCATAAAGAAGAATACTACCCCTTCATATTATTCAGTTAAGTCTACATTTTATATGCATGTAACCGGTACGCACCTGTTCCTATGGTCATGTTAAAAGAAGTGGACTACACAGAAAAAGAACAAAACAAGGCACAAGTAAACAGCAAGTAAGCAGAACAGAGCAGCAAAAAAAACAAGGAGGTGTAGAATAATGTAAAGTAGAAATATATTATGTATATCACATAATGAAATAAAAGTGGTCTACGGTTAGCATGCGTTATTTCGCATGCATATGCGGCGTCATACTAATGTCGCATATTCTGTAATAAAGCATCCACATATAACTCCGTCTGCTGCAAACTGCATTCGACTTCGCACTCTTCTATGACTAATGCCAGGATAAGTATCCATATTTTAGCGGTTAACGGTTTTGTCATGTAAGGTTGCGGATGCAGTGGCTGGGGCGGTAAATCTGTCACGCGTAGCATATCGTGTGCTGCCATTACGTTTTCCACGTCTAAGTGTTGTTCTACGCGAGGTATGTCGCCTTTTTGCGGTACTGTCTCCTCCTCAACATTATGCAACAAATGTTGAAACCACTCCTCCTCACTATATGTATTCATAAGGTCATGTTGTGTTGCAACCCATTCTTTCCATGCGTCAAGATTGTTCATCGGCACGGTTGCCGCATCACCGAGTTCACGGTGCCCGTATACTCCGCTATCCTGGTTTGCCACCATGTGATCGCGCAGGTATTGTTTCCATGCCGATTTGAGGGCATTAAACCACGGCTGCGTCGTGCACTCCCGCAGAATATGTTTGTTGCGGTCAATCCAAGGGATCCAATGGGTGCAGTACGACGTCTCGTCACCGTGGTCGGAATGAGCATTCTGTTCTGCATCTAAGTCGATATTTTCCATACAACGCCATGCATCGGGGTCCTCTTCATTAGGAGGACAAGGGTCCGGTCCTAACTGTATAGTGTCCATACAACGCCATGGATCGGGGTCGTGTGCATGCGGTGGACAAGGGTCCGTTTGTAACTGTATGGTTTCCATACAACGCCATGGATCGGAGTGCTCTTCGTTAGGCGGAGCACGCTCCCGTGCTAACTGTATGGGTTCCATGGAACTGCATGTATCGGGATCGTCTGCATTCGGTGGAGACGGGTCCGTTTGTAATTGTATAGTTTCCATACAACTCCATGGATCGCGTTCATGTGGTGGACATGGATCGGTTGCGTCGGAATAGGTGGGTGGATCCGCGGTGGATGAAACATTCATCCCTGGTAAACCATGGTTTGAGGTAGAGACACCCAAGATATTGTTATTGCTGTCCTGGTCCCGCTCCAAGGCGCGCGCAAACTCCTGCAATACAATCTTCAAATAGTCCTGTTTGACGTTTTCCCATTCGGTCGCTTCACATTCGTGGAGCACTTCTAGATGTAGTTCGATGATCGTGCGTTTATGCACGCGTGGTGGGCGTGGTGCGCGTCGTGCGGCAGCAGACGCAGGTTGCCTATCCCTAATCATCGTGTAACCGTAATCGAGCGTTGGCGCGCCGCGTTGTAGATGCTGCAATATGTCGTCGTCGAGTGGCGGTGACGGCACGTCACGAACGGTTCGATATGTTCGTCGGCGTTTGGCGAGGTACGCAAAGTACTAAGCAGAAAAAAGGGGGGTAAAGAGGAGGGTGAGGACGGTAGGATAAAAGGAATGAACGCGGGTGTAGGAGTACATTTGTGTTAGAACGATCATATATTGGTGCGCGGCGGGATGTTCGTAGGTATAAACATCCTGCACATGCGGGATGCCCGCATGGTGGTATATATTTACCTTCCAGAGGAAAAATGCAATGAGCCCAATACCAACCACCGCGGGAATAATCGCGGGGGTGTACCACTTGACATCTTCCCATGTGAGGCCGGGCGGCACGGACGGGGTGGCAGGGGTAAGGGCAGGCCCGGCACCAGCACTACTACCACCCGTACCAGCACCAACGCCAGTACCACTACGACCTCCTCCTCCTGCACTTCCGCTACCGGTGCCGCCAGCAGCCTGTTCACCACCCCCACCTCCCTTTCCTTCCCCACCAGCAGCACCATCCTCACCACTCCCTGCGGACGCATCGCCGGTGCTGGCGCTACCGCTCGACCCCGATTGATCTGGGTTCGGATTCGGTTTTGGTTTGGGTGGATTGAGAAGAGGGGGGTCATCGTTGCCGCCAGCGACGACGGCGTCCCCGGAGTCGTCATCGTTCTTGGCACTCGTGTTACCGTACCCTCCTGTTCCTGTTGATTTTGTTTCTGGTCCTGTTGATGGTGATGTTGGGTCCGATGCTGCTGGGTCTGATGCTTTCGGTGCTGCCTCTGCAGGTGCAGATGGGGATCCTGACGAGCCTGGACCATTTGCACCATCCTTACCTATAATGTCAAATGAAGCAGTAGGGGATGTGATGAAACTTAAGTTTTGTGTGCGGTGGAACGTTATGGTTGACCACACGGTTGGTACGATGGTTCATGAACTGGGGACGGTGCCACCCCGGGAAAAGACTGTCTCTCTCGCCCACAACACAACACACACAACACACACAACACACACACAGACAGTGTGTGTGTCGGCCTGCATCTACGTCGACGTCTACATCCCGCGGCCGACCCATGGCTCGCACCGCTGTGCGTCCCGCTCACTCTCATTCGACGTTTGGTTTCTCGCTTTCCGTTGTTGCGCTGTCCGTGGTGTCTCTCCGGAAATTGTTGTTGCTGTGGTTGTGGTTTGTTTTTTCGGGTCATTCCGTTCTCTGAGACATGGGTCAGTGTACTGTGGTGCACATGGTGACGTCAGGACAGTGTCCGTACTACTCTATAAAGTGGAGTACTCGGGGGTCGTATTCCTTTTACCTTTACATTCAGTTGAGGAGGATCATCCAAAACTAACTGTGACGGTGACATTGGCTTCCCCTGATTTCTTATTGTCAGTCTCACTCGTTGGCCCACATGTTGACTTGTTCTCATGAACAGGTGCCTTACCTGAACTTTGCTCTGTGCTATCCTTCGGCGTCGGAGACTCCGCTGCTGAGTTAGTGGGCGCTCCCTTGGATGCGCCGGTGGCTGCTGCTGCCGTATCCTGCTGGTCACCCTTGGTCTCTCCTGTGTTGTGTTCGTTCGTCTCATCTTTCTTCTCGGTACTCTTCGTTTCTGCCTTTTTGTCCGTGGTCGGAGCTATAATAAGGAAGAAAGACGAAAAGATGATAAAAAAAAAAAAGGACACCAGTGCTACAGAAAGAAGGGGCGGGACGGTGCGGTCAGGTAGCGGCAGGGTAGGGGCGGGACGGTGTTAGAGAGCGCGCACGTTGTTAGAAGAGGACAAAGACAGGAAGAAAGGGGGGCGCACTCGGTGGACTGCGTAATCGGTGGACGGAGGTGATAGCAGTACAACTTGTATTTGTTGTTGCCGTCATCTCGTCCGCCGTTACGCTCCGTCATGTCGTGTACCCAGTCGTCGTCGCTACCGCTACGGCTACCGTTCCCGTCGTGGCCGCTGCATCCCACGCACCACTGTCACACCACTGTGCGGCCGCTACACTGGTCATCGCAGCACACACAGACCTCGTCTACACTCGTCTACACAGTGGCCAACGGTGCGAACGGTATGCTCGTCGCTACCGGCGTGGCGGCCGCACAGCGCCGCTACACCGAAGTGGGGCAGCAACGTGTGGCAGCGAAGATGTGCCACGCTGTTCCGCCGCGTGTTCGTGTTGTGGCGGCATGCGCATCCATATTCGGCCGTACGACCCGTGCGCGCGGCGTATGCGTATGCGGCAGTATGATCCGGTATGCGGCCATGGTCGGTATGGGCCATATGTTCGTAGTGTTACAAATCGTATTGTTACCTGTCGTTTCAGTTGCGTCCGTGTTCGCGTTCTTCTGCACTTCCTGAAACGCCTCCTTTGCTCGCTGCAGTATGTGGTCTGTGGCTTGCGCGACTTTCTCAAGTATCTGTGTTACTGCTCCTTCCAGCTGCGTCTCTGCTGTCTCTATCTTCTTCTTCCCTGCTTCGCTCAAACGGTCTTTGAGCGTTCCCCCTTCTGTGTTCCCACCCTTAATAGGTTTCTGCCCGGGGTCCAGCTGCTTAATGTAATCTGTCCATTTTGTTGTACACGGCATTGCCCTTTCCATTGCTGCTATTTCGTTCATTATGTCCCCGTGCTGCATGAGCCACTCTACTACTTTCAAATTTATCGCGTGTGCCCACCTTCGATTCTCGCCGTACCCACATGCTGTGCATGTTCCATCTATAACAGGACCATTGATTGCTCCCACTCCATTTATGCCCGCGCTTTGCATACTCTTGAATGCTATCCGAGAATATTCTACACCTCTCCTGTATCCTTTTTGCTCTGAACAATATTTTTCTTTCAGTAAGTGTCCAAAGATATTTACCACTTCACACCTGAACATATTCTGTTGTTCCTTCGTCATGTGGACCCCTGGCCCCGTCGCGTGTGCACCTTTGTCCGACCAATTTGCGAAGGCCCATGCAACACTCATAACTCTGCACCGTACCACATCTGCTACGGTTTGCCCCGTATGATTGTCATGGCCCTTGCCGAAATCATTCCAACCAGTATTATAACAGTTTGCCCCCCACGCTTCGGCTAGTTCGTTGTTTGCCTCCATATGTTCCGTAAATGCCTCCAACACTTGCTTCCAGTTGTTCCATGCGTTATCCTACATGTTGCACATGAACATTAAAAAAGTGCCCATGGTCACATGTTATCTATATTGTTGCACATAAATACATATACATTCTCACATGTATGTGTAAGTGCCCGTATCAACAAAGTCCTCTTATATTGATTCCTGTGTCCTGCCCATCGCGGCACTGGCTGTGTAATCGAACTTACATCACGTGGGGTCACCACGTACAC